AAGCCCGGAGGTGGGCCGTGCCCCAGCGGCCTGGTCGTCGTCCAAGCTTCATCGAATGTCGACTGTAAGTTTTTAGGAATTCCGTCCGCCATAGCTGAGCTTCAAACACAACTTTTTGAACAGTAATCCCCACAGACGGCGCCAATAATGCAAGTGTAAGCGTCCGGGTCCTGTTTGGAGTAGATCGGTTCTTGTCCTCGCCGGTAGAACGCCGGAAACCTGCAAATAACTCTCACAATGGGGGTTGGATCCGGTGAAGAGCCTCCGATGCTTAAGTCAGTATGTGTATGAGTATACTGGAATTGAGAGAATGAATAGAATGTGTTCATGGATAAAGTCTCGCCCCCTTTATATAGGGGGGAGATACCTGCCCTAATAGCTGCCCGGATAAGGTGAGTTGGCTGCCCAAGCTGCCCGTCCGTACTCTGACACGCCGCGCACATGTCAGAGGTGGCACAGGGCGTTGGGGGTTGTCAGAGGTGGTTTCCACCATCATCCAATACGTTATCGACACGTGTTGTTCCAGCACATGGGCTGAATATTCTCTGAAGATTTTGGTTAGAGGCTCTTACGCGTGCCTACGGTACACGCGCTCACAACTAGGTCGATTATGGGTTCCTCGATGCGATCGACCTGCTGAGGTCGAGTGGCTTGCTCGATCATGTGTCTGGTCGATGCATCTGGTCGATTATACAAATATTTGGCCTTCCCGCCCCTTTCGGTTTGTTTCTCCTCTGTTCAGTTTCCCCGACCGGCCAAGTAGGCCGGTTTATCCTTGAGTATATAATATCCCATATCATATTGCTTCCGCACGCTTGATATTTATGTTGAGATTATTAGAACATTGTCAATTTTCCTATTGTCTTTGGGATTGGTTAAACGGTTGAACCATGTGGATTATTTTTATCAGTTTGGATTATGGTGACGATCATATTGCTAGACATGATGACATCTAGTCCTGGAACTTGAATTATGCCGATTATTCTCGTTTCCTTTATGTTGATTATATGTTTAACTTGGAAATGTTCTCGAGTAGCGCCAAAGTTTTATAAATCGATAAATGGTTTTCAAAATTTTAAAACAAGATTTTTGGATAAATCCAGAATTGTCTTTAAAAATCTTTGGGGCGTTACAGTTTGGTATCAGAGCCAGTCTGCGTTTCTGTAGACTGGTTTATATGTGATTAAGTGAAAATGTGAATTGACCTTATATTTTGACCACTCGTCTTCGTCATGCCGCACTGCTTAAGGTATGTCTTAAATAAGTATTGGTATATACTTGAGTGATGTAATGCTAATATTTGGGGTTAGGTTTTATCCACCTTTAAAATGTGAACTCTAGGGTCGAACTCTAGACTTCTTTTATTTTGTGCTAAATCTTTGCGGCTCATTTTCCAAATGTAGGGAAATGGCTCGTCAAACCCGCAATGGTAATCAACAGCAACCACCTCCCCCTACTCCTCCTCCTCATCAACATGCTCTGGGTAGAGATCCCATTACCCAAGCCGTGATCGATTTCCGTAACATGCATCCTCCGACGTTTACCAGAGTTGAAGGCCCCGAAGCTGTGGCTGAATGGCTTCTGCAACTTGACAGTATTTTTGATCTGTTGTTCACCACTGATGAGGTGAAAATCCGTTGTGCCTCGTTCGTAATGACCGGAGATGCTAGGACTTGGTGGAATGACTATTGGAGACTTCATCCTCGTGCTGAGAGGGATGCCTTGACTTGGGACCAGATGGTTACGATAGTTAAGGACAAGTATTATCCCGAGGCTCACCGTGCCCAGATGATGAAGGACTTCTGGGAGCTTAAGCAGGGACCCCGTTCCGTGGATGTCTACGAGCGCGAATTCACCCGTATGTGCGCGTTTGCCCCGATGCTCATAGATACCGACCAGAAGAAGGCCTTTCGTTTCCGTGATGGTCTTCGTCCCGATCTTTGCTACACCCTGACTGGCCACGGATCTCTGCCTTACTCCGAGATGGTTCGCTGAGCCACTGAGTTAGAGGTTTGCCAGAATGCCCAGAGGGCGGCTGTCCCATCCTATCAGCAGACCCCTATGATTCAGCCTATCTCAGCTGTTGCGCCCAGTTCTAATTCGGGCAAGAGGAAGGCC